TTATTGAATGGTATTGATCCTAATTTCTCTAATTAATAAACCAACCTTTTATCTTATAACTTTAATTAGTTAAACTCATAATATAAAACCCAATCCATCATTATTGCTCTCCCATATATATAAACATATACATTGATTGTAGTGATTTACATTGATAATTCTATTGACGCCAATAAGATTTTAGGATTGTTAACATAAATTATTATCTTTCAGATACCTAAAACATTGCTATACATATTAAAGTCTATTTTTCAGTCAGTAGACTTCACAATTGACTCGTATAACAGTACCTTAGGAATGATAAATCATCGTACCTAAGGTACAATAAATGTATCATTTCTTAGAAATGATAAAACTATTGTATCTAAGGAACAATACAATTGTTCCAATCGGACGTCAATCGGTTATAAATAAAATAGATCGAATTTTGGCTGATTCTTGGCCGATTTCTGATGTATGCCAATCGGCTAGGCTGATTTTTGATAATTTGCCAAATTTAGGCTGATTTTAGGCTGATTTTAGGCCGATTTTCACATGTCCAATTTTTTTGATTTCGACCAGTGTATGCAAAAGAATCAAAAGACAAGACTACCTTTTATGAAACTTTACTTTATAGATATGGATAAGGCCACAAAGTATGAATCATTCCAATTATATAAGAAAAAATCGTCTAATTTTTATTTAATTTACGATCAACATAAAATATAATTTGTTATATATAATATTTGTTTTTAAAATAAACCCATTTTGTATATTTTTTGTATATTTTTTTCATGTATAATTAGTACAATGATTGTATTTTTTTGCAACATAAAAATTATATTTTTACATATATAATAAGTATATTAATTGTAATTTTTTACATATAATTAGTACAATTTTTGTAATACTTTTGATTTATTAATATTTTATAAATATTCAATTTATATTTTATTATCATGTTATATTTATTGCATTAATAACCAAATAATATACATAGTAATAATAATATAATTAAATGATCTAATTGATTCAATCTTAAATAAGCATTTATTAAAAATTAGTTATAAAAACGATTTAAAATTGAATAATATATTGATATTTACCTATTTTTACTATATATCAGATTTTTTGAATAAATCAGCAAATACAGCAAGTTTTAATGTTATTTTATATTTTTGAGATTGGTTATATTGTGTTGACATCACAGAAAAATTCATATACATTAGTTTTAATTTAATTTCCTGAATCAGTTGATTGAAGAAATTGTAACTGATGGTTTCTCATTCATATTTTTTGTGTTAACTGACGAATTTGTTGAACCTGATTCCTTAAACTTTTTGAACTAGTTGAGGTTTATGATTGAATGGTCAAATTTGAAGAAGTTGTATTTGATGGTTTCTCATTCACATTTTTTTACTATTGCATGTTAACTGGTGAGTTTGTTGAACCTGACCTCTTGAACTTCTTGAACCAATTGAGGTTTGTGGTTGAATAGTCAAATTTGAAGAAATTGTATCTGAAAATGATTTATCAACAATTAATGATGGTTCTTCATTTTCATTAACCATATTTCTTTTGCCATTTCGTGTTATTCGATGAGTCTGCTACTTTGTATTAGAATAATGTTGACTAATATTTAAATATTAACAATTTGAATTAAAGTATATTAGTTATTTTTTCTCGAATATTTAAAAAATTATATAAAATATACAACTTTTTGACTTGATCAGATATATTAGATTTAACATCAATTTTAGTAAAAGGAACTATATATTGATCAGTTAAATCATCTTTGTAAATGTCATCTATATTAACGTTATTTTAGATTTGATCATCTGTTAGTTCTGGTGATAAAGAACGGGATTTATATCTTTTTGATTTTTGTTCAATTCTTTTATGACATTTTATAACATCACCTGAAAGGTTTACAAAATTATTATAAAACTATTATTAGTATTATATAAATCAAATGTTATAAAAATAAAATCATACGCTTGTTATTTATTATTCGACATATCATGTCACGTGGTGCCTAATCACCCACTGTTGGAGGAAAACCCTTATTTGACAATAACCACTGAAATGAAAATAGAAGGTAAATAATTAATAATTTCTTAAAATACATCAATTTTATTTATCTTTTTAATTATATATAGAATTTCCTTTTCAGTCAACTCTTTAAACATCTTAGTATTTCCTTTAAGGTTATGACTAATTTGGTGTCGTAATGCCTCTTTAAAAATATGTGATCAATAGCGAATCTGTATCCTTTTAATAGAAATAATTAATAAATTAAATACTTACTTAATAGCTATTATATTTTTCTTTTTCCATATTAAGCACTTTGCGAATATCTAAGTATTTGTCGACTTTCGGCTTAGGAATAGGCTGTTTTTACTCAATAGGTTTGTTTAATATTCAATATACAACAAAAAATATTAATTTTTAAAATATTAAATAACAAAAGTATAGTTACTTCACGGTTATCGATAATAGTTCTAACGCGTTTAGATCTTTCATTTTGTTCAAGTATCTTTGAATCATTACTTGAAGTATCATCATCACTTTCATCTAATATCTTAGGCTTTCTTTTGTTAAGTTTTGCATTATTAGCTTGTTGGTTATTCATCTTAAAGGTTCCTTGATCCAGAAGAAATTGAAGGCGTACATTTTCAGCTTTCAATATTGTAAGGCATTTCATAATAAGACTATAATCATTATCATGAGCATAATGTTCATCAATTTCAGACTCAGCATTTGATATAGAAGAAATATTATTCAATTCCTCTCCTGAAGAAGCATTATTTAAGTTCTTGCTTAAAAAAGCACGATTATCTTCAAAGTCAACATCATCATTTACTATTACTTTTGCTTTTCCTTTTCTTTTCTTAAAGAAACACGATTATCCTCAAAGTCAACATTATTATTAACTGTTAATTTTACTTTTCCCTTTTCTCTCATTACTGCGTTATTATAAAAGCGAAAAAAATTGACTGTTATTTTATAACTTGATTTATAATTATATTAAAGATATTTCTGTAAGAAATGATAAAAAAAAAGAGAGACAACAGAAATTTCTTCGTTAAACTTATTTATATTAATTAATTTATATGTAAACTTTGTTTTACTAAATTTATAACGTAATTACTGTGATTGATACATTGTACACTTTTTGATATTTTTAAGGTTAGATCTTACATATAATCTAATCATAAAGTTATGAAAATCAAACAAAAAAGGAAATTTGCAATTTTTAATAAATAAAAAATGATATTTTTTTTCAACTTATTTTATATTTATAGATTAAAAATCGTAAAAAAAATACATTTGGACATATTATATTTATATACTCTTTCATAAATATCATTATTTTATATTTTTTTAAAAAGCTAAACCGATTTTCTGTTACATTTGGTCAATTTTTTATTGGATTTCTTTATTATGTCAAAAGTGTAATGCACATGTTACAGATGTCAAGAAAATACAGGAGATGGTTCATATGTTAGTAAATCAACTTGTACACATCACCGCAACCTATATCAATCTTATGAACAAAAATATAATTTATCAAGTTTAAATGAAACATTAAGTCAATTTAATAAGACAGAAATAATTGATGTATGTAATAAAGCAGAAATGATTGATGCATGTAGTGAGATGGAAATGATAAATACTTTTAGGCAGTGTTATTATGGGACATTGATAGGATACTGATGGGACGCTGATGAGACATAGATGGGACAGATAGAACATTTGGAACATAGTTGTAGAATAGATTGGATATATAGCTGGGACAACAAATCTCTGGGATATCAAAAATATACATCACTGCTTTTAGGTATATTGTTTCTTTGAAATTCTATTTAATAATATATATAGTTTACTAATCTATCGAAATGGAATATCATTTATTAGTGATTCTTTGTCTTATTCAGAATCACTATCTGGACCCATAACCAATGATGATGAACTGATATTATTTGAAAGCAATTCTGATTATTCTGAAGAGTTTCAGAGTTCAGAATATGATAGTCAAATTAATAATAATAAAAGTTGTGTATGATCTTCTTATCTTTGTAATATGTTGACTAATATATAAAGTTATGATTCTATAGGGATTAATATTATAAATGAAGTTGCTAAAGGGTTGCGTCTCCTTAAGATAAAAATCTGACGAAATATTACTGATGCTGCTTTCGAAGAAATTGTTGCTGCATCTAATGGTATTACAATAAACCTGTATAAGTTGATAAAAACACTTAAGGATCTTGTTCCTCTTAAGCCGATTTGGATTGATATATGTATAAACTCATATTGTACCTTTACTGGTAATTTTAAGACACTAAACAAATGTATTTATTGTAAAGCTGAACGTTATTGAGAGAGAGGTCAATCAAGAGCCCAAATAGCATATTTTTTCATTCAGGATCGATTTATCATTCAATATCAAGATCTGACATGTGCGAAACAATTACGCTATCATTCTGAATATATTGCTAGAGAAGGATATGGTATCAATAGTATCATTAGTGATGTGTTTGATGGCATTCGATATAAACACTTATTACAAACAGGATATTTTCAAGATGATCGTGATGTTGCACTTTAGGTTCTGTCGATGGCTATTAAATATTCAAGCAAAAATGTGATGATTGTTGGATAGTTTTATTTATTAATGCCAATTTACCACCTGAACAACGTGTAAAGAAGGAAAATTTATTTATTACCTCAATTATTCTGGAACCCAAATCTCTAAAAGACTTCAATTCTTTTATAAAGCCAATAGTCAAAGAATTATGTTTATTAGAAGATAATTTATTTAATTTATTTGTTATTGTTATTTATATGTATTTAAATCAAATTAATTGTAACTTTATAGATAGTATTGATTGTTATGATGGTGCAATAAATGAGAAGTTCCTCTTGAAAGTTACTGTACTTTCCTAGTCTGAAGACACTTCCGGATTATCAAAACTCGCTTGTTTAACTAGCCATAACTCTTATATGACATGTCATTATTGTGATCTTCGAGAAGTATATAGTAATCATGTATATTATCCAACTATACCTCCATTAGATAAAGCAAACAAAACATATGATCCATCAAATTTATCGATAAGAACTCATAGAGATTTTAAGACAAGAATAGAACAAATAGAGAAGATATCACTATCAAAATCATGAGATTTATTAGCTTCCGAATTAGGTAAAAAATAACCAATATATAGTTTCTTTTTTTTTATTTTAGACGAATATTAATTATTATTTAAATAGATATTACAAGACGTAGTATTCTTTTAAATATAAGATCAACTTACTTTCCTATATGTCTTTCAGTAGATATCATGCATTTGTTTTATGAGAATATTGCATCATATTTATTTAAACATTAGATAGGTAATTTTTTTAAAGATCCTAATCTCAATGATCAATCATATAAATTTAATAGTGAACAATAAAATGAAATTGGAGTTGAAATAGAAGCTGTTAAAAAATCTATTTCAACTGATTTTAGACGTCCTTCACGAAATATTATTCTTCATTATAATAGCTATAAGGCAGAAGAATGGGCTTCATGGATCACTTTGTATTCTTTACCATTATTAAAGGATCGTCTACCAAAAAAGTATCTTAAAGATTGGTCTTTCTTTGTTAAAGCTATTTGATTATGTCAAAAATGGACATTATCTCTACGAGATCAAATTGAAATTAGAAACTTATTATTAGATTTTTATAAGCATTATGAGTGTATGTTATATCATTTGTTTACAATATATTATTATTTATTTGTTAATATACTATCTTATATTCCTAGTTATTATTATCAGTACCTGACTACTCAATTAGGTGCAATGAAAATATGTTTCCATTATTTGTTACATGTAGCTAATAGTATTCAAAACACCAGTCCATGTTGGGCAACATGACAATTCCCTATAGAACGTGTTTGTGGCATGTTGCTACTATTGGCTAAGTCAAAATTCCATCTATATAAAAATTTAACAAATAATGTATATTTGTTAGAATTATTTAATAGTTTACATTTTTACAAAAAAGTCTATGATTATATATTTCTGCCTCTACTTCATAAAGAATATAAAAAATATATGGTCTATTCAAATCAATATTATGATGAAGAGTTTTATTGGCCTTCTAAATCACATATTCTTAATGTTTCTGAAGTTAAAAAAATAAAAAATCACTTCTTCGTGATAGAAGGAATAGCAGGAATGTAATTAAATATATGTATTTTGTTTTTTATTTATTATTTATAAAATAATATTAATTAATATTTATATTCTTAGGATTTTGAAACTCATGGAATAAAATGTGGCCGTTTGTTAACTTCAGATGAACATTTAATTGGATCGAAATGGATACGTAAAAATAAAGACTGGATTCGAATTAACTATAACATTATTATAGGTATTGTATTATATATGATATAAAATAATTTTACTAAATATACTTCATAATATTTTATATATAAGGCATGTTTAGAAGTTGACAAGTGGGCTCATATATCAAGTGTGACATCAGAATTTATTAAAAAAACCTTTTATGACCAAGTAAATTATTTTCTTATATATAAATTTATGGATGAAGAAAAAATGCTAGCAAATGTCAAATGGTCAAATAAAGTTAATGAGGATGTGTTAGATATCATTTTCTTTAAAGGTGATGGTATTACATAATTTATTGATATTACTGTAATTGATAGATGTGTAGGTTTTATGAAATTAAAACGTAAAACATATATTATTAATAAAAAATATATAAATGGGTGGAATAATGATTAAAATCATACTATTTTCGAATATTTGTATGTTTACAAATTTTTTTCATACATTTTTTAGATAATTTTTAAATAATAATTTATATACTTAAAATCAAAATTTTTAAAATTCAGATATTTATTGAATAAATTGATGCTAAATTGTATAAATATTGTATATAAATAAACAATTTTACTATATTTTTTAAATAATTCTTTTTCATAGGGCAAATTCAGCTATCTTTCAAAAGTTTATCTTATCTAAATCTAATTGGTAAGGGGTTATCAAATGGTCTTCAAATATCAATATTCACAAAGTGTTTTTTTATTACCTCATAAATTTTTTTTGCTAGAGGCTCATAATCATTATGTATATCTTTAAAAATTTGCCTTATATTATCTAATGTTTTACATTCACAATACAATAAAATATATTTAAAATTTATGCGTATATTTGGATGGGTTTCATAAAAATGTTAAGTTATATAAATTGAGCTAATTCCATTATGTCTATCTAATCTAAAGAAAGAAACAATTTTTAGCTGAGTTGCCAAAAGTTTTCCGATAAGATCATCAAAGATTATAATAGTAAATCAGTCAATTCTTTTGAAAGATGAAATATTAGATAGTTCTTCAGATGCAATTAGTTTGAATCTCACATTTTCATACCATAGAGCTTACTTATTTATAGTTATAAATTCATAAAAATATTATACTGCTTCCTATAATCCTTCATCTTGGTATTGTGTAATAACAATTAGATTATCACACAGAATATACCTTTCACTAAAATTTTTGCTCCCACCTTTTGGTATTTTATGACTACGCTTTTTACCAGATATCTATAAATATATTTTTAGATATTTACTTTTTAGAAGCTGATATACTATCATGCTCATCTTTTCAGACTCAGAGGTGCCTATAATTAGTAGTCTAAATAGATGTTTAGAAGTGAATGGATACTGTTTTTTCAAAGGTATAGTTTCATCTAATTTGCATAGTTTATAATACTTCATAGTATTTTGAAAAATAGAATAATTATTCAAGGAACATATTTTGTTAACCATAATGCCAAAAAAAATTCTTTGAGTAATGCAATAATAATAGTAAAAGCATAAGGAAAAAAGCGTCTCAGCTAATGAGTAGAATTTAACTTTATAGATACTAACTTTTTTTCGTAATTATA